CTTTTGTAAGTTTCTGTTATTTTTATAAGGGTGAAACTATGTAGGTACTGTTAGAACTGTAATATACAAATAATATTTAATTTACTATACCATCTTAAGAGTTTTTTCAGGCATCATTACTTGTTCACAACACCTTTCCTCTTTTCTATAAGTTACTTATTCGTCAAATAGTGTGACCGTCTTTGGCGTAAAATACTGGTGAAGGTGCTGGGCGCATCGGAAAATGCAATGTGCCAGGCACTAGAACATGGTGATTACATAAATGAAGCAATAATTATAATCGGTTCAGTAGTTTACGATAAAATCGTAGGCTAATATACTACAGAGGTGCGTAACGGTCTGTTTTTTGAAATCCTTCAAGAAAGGAATATAAGTACCTGTATACCTAGCAATTAATAAGAATGTTTAAGTCCTTGGTTATAGACACAATCTTATTTGATTTCATTAGTGTGCAAGAGAAAGCCGCGATAAACTACTCACGAAATTGAAGAAGCTGATAAAGAGGCATTGCATCGCCATCTAGTGGGCATTTGCTACTTAAGAATTCCTCCAAGCATTAGACAAGGCCTTACCACCGTCACCGGTTCGATCCCGAATCCCTGCTTGACTTTGTATGGTTTTGTATGAATTATTTAGACAAATGTTGGCGTAGTTTGTGGTCGATTCAGTCAGAAATACTTTAGTAAGGCCTTATCTAACGGTTCAAATGCTTTAGTAGCAGCAAATACCCCGTAGATGGCGATGTATTGTCTGTATTTGAATATAAGTATAAATGGTGCGTAAAATTTTAGCTTTAATAAAATAAAAAATTACGGTCGCGTTTTAATTGTGGAAGCCTTCTTGTTTGTTATTTATTAATGTCCCTTTTTTTGAGAAAAAAGCTCAAACATAGGGAGAACAACTTATTAGTGAAAGCGTGTTCCACATTTTTCAGCGCCCACTTTTCCTCGGAAGCCTCAAAGAACCAGCCAACAAACGTACATATTTTTAAATTAAGATAACCTCCTCTGAAGCAGCACGAGCTTTTCAGGCGGTAACACAATAAACCTCTGGCATATAATACGTATTTGTGTATGTGTATGCACATATATGAGTTCACTTGGGGAGAGAGAACTTGCATGTGTAGACATGAGTACATTTTATAATATCCTAGGACTCGGGACGTGTGCAAAAGAGGGCCATTTTCATTAGCGTGATAGAAGTTCAGTCTATACATACATATGTAGCACACAAAGTAAAGGTAAAGATATATCTACTGACTTTCGGAAAACAACGATTTGTCCTTTTTCTCAAACTCGAACTGAAATGGACGAATGATACCTTTGTGCAGTCAGAAGAATCCGGGATACTGGTTTGGTAGCGAGTCAATCTACCAGTTGTCTTTGCCGATATTTCGTCCTCGGTCACATGGAATATTTTCAGGGCTAGGCCACCCAAGTATTTAAAATCAATGCAAACCTTTTTTTTTTATCAAATGTTTTAAAATTTTGTATCACCATCATATGGGTCGTCAGTCTTAAGATTAGTTGAACACGCACTTTCACTCCTTCCTATTCTGAGCTAATCTTTGGATTTCCCAAAAACAAGAACATCCAACATCCTTAACTATTTGCGAACAGTAACCTAATCTAGGTCTACCTCTACCCCTCCTGACTCCTGTTTCTGCCTCTAATATGTCTCTGACTAGACCTTCATGCCTGAGAAGATATCCTACCAACCTATATCACCTATTTTTTATTGACTTCTATAGAGTCCTCTGTTCTCTTTTCTTTCTAATACCTCTTCATTTATAACCTTTCTATCCACGTTATCCTCATCATTCGCCTATAACACCACACTTCTAACTTTTTCTTTGCCGCCGCGACTACCGTCGAATCTTTTTCGAATTTCTAAATTAATCGTTCGCGAGAATAGAAGTGACTTCTTTTTATTGAAGGCGACTCGACCGTGCCCTATCCTCTGCTTTAAATCCTTACTACTCCTTCCATCCAGACTTATCTGACTTCCTGGATATTTAAAGTCAGGCATTTCTTCTAATCTTTTGTCTCCTATCTATACATTCGCTATATCTGCAGATCTAAGGGTACTAATTTTTTGTTCCTGTTTATCTATCCCTACAGTTGTACTGTCTTTAATGATATTAATCGCATCTTCGATGCATAGATTAAAAAGTAGCGGTGCTAATCTGTATCTTTGTCTAACTCCCTTCCTAATATTTACTTCTCTACATTGTAGCCCAAGCTCTATAACTGCCTGTTGCTCTTTATACAAGCTAAGTATCACTCTTCTATCTCTGTAACTCATCCCTATATTTAACATCTTGTCCCATTTAACATTGTACGCACTCTTTCCGTTTTCTATCGTTTTCTCTATTATTACCCGTAAAGTTAGAATGGCCTCCCGCGTTCCTCAATTTCTTTTAAACTCAAATTGATCTTCCTCTAATACTTCTTGTGCCCTGTTTTCAATATTTCTCTGTACAATTCTAGTTTAGATTTTGTATGCAAGAATTATAAGTGATTTAATTGTCATTTTAGATTGAAAAAGAAGATTCTAACAAGACGACAACCAGGCCAACATAAGCAAACCTTAAGTTGACGCATTCAAGGTTCGCTTAGTACTTGTTTGAATATGAGGGCGGTTTTCCGTGAATATTAAAACACTGCTGCATATCGGCCATGAGCAGCTATGCAAGTAAAGAATGGCCACAGAGGCGAGAGGGTAGGTCGTGTTTTACATTAATCCGCTGGCTTAGCACATGTGGCGATCTCATATGATAACCCGGAGTTATTTTCATTGTGTCGTGACCCGAAATAGCTCAAGCGCGAGAATAAACATGGCGGCGCAGCGTACTGGTTATTACCGTAGATAAGTAACGTCGTGAAAAATGCCAGCCGTTTATCCTCGGCCCTAACTAAAAACCACAGTAATTTAATAGAGACAACGTTCTGGTGTGCCGGCGCTCCGCGGCGACTGCGATTTAAATTAAAATCTCGCTTTAATAGCCATCGCGAAATTCAGGTAAAAAGTGGAGCTACATTTTCAATAAAAAAGGAAACACAAATCATGCCGCTGCTTCGCTAAAAGCTCCACTGTATCAAAACTGTTCCAGTGTCATAAATAAAAAATATTTTTTCATAACGGTATCATTTTTTAAAAGGTACCTACTTAATTAGAATGTATGCAACCAACTATACATTCAAGTATACACATTTAGACCCTTTCTTCTTGTTTTATAAGAAACATCAAAATTGGCGATTTTCAATTAGAGATTCAAATTATTCAACAGTCATCCTGGATATCGAAAGCAGGCCCAAACAACCCTTCCAGAAGGTTGCACTATCGGTCATCCTGTTTCTACAGATTCCTGTTTTAAGGCATCTTTTTTTTGTTTTAATTGGCAAATACCTTTTAAAGCGCTTAATAAAGTACAGAAGATGAAATTTGACAGAACCTCAGTCCTTTTATTTCGCGTTACTCGTTCGTTGCATTATAGACACACACAGGTGTTCTCTATAAAATTACTTAATTTTATATGCTGAATTGTAATTTGAGAATGTGGTTACCTGTGACATATTATGCTGTGTTTTCCGGATGTGATTTCTAGTAGATAAATTTTAATTTTGATTGATATTCAACTTGTCTCCATTCGTAACTGAACAGCCAGCTAGTATATACACTACGTAATGAATACTCCGGGGGCTTTTAATTAATGAAGTTGTGTTTGTTCGGAAATTCCTAATTCTGATTAATGATGTCCGCTTGTCTTGAACAAAGAGTCCGGACCACGCCAAGTATTAGAAGATGACTAGGTACTTTCCTCAATATTCAAACATAAAGTCGGAATTGTATAAGTTTGGAGGTAAATTATTAACAAGTGAGTTTCCAAGAACTAAAGGGTGAACCATACTTAAAGCTCAATAACGATGACGACACGAAAGGTGTAAACGTAATGGAAGCAACTCTATACGAACATATTAAATATAGATTTCAAAATAGAAAACATGTCTACTTGGGACGAAGAGAATAAAACCGTTTTCTGTGGTCTTTTACAAAGATTAAATTTAAGCTCTGGTACAAATGAGAGTGGGTGGATCGGATTGCGAGTTTCGTTGATTTAGGGAGTCGGACCATAATGAGGGGGGGTACTTAAAGAACGAAACCAGACTAAGACCATAAGGCAAGTAGGGAAATTAGAGAATTTGATTAAAATCGGTTGTCTGTAAAGTCGGTTTACTGACGATAGTTGAACGTGACAACGTCATCAGAAAATACTGATGGAATGGTTACATTTTTCAAAAGAAAATTTTAATTTTATTTGTTTGATAGATATTTTGTATGGATACAGAGAAGGAGGTAAATGGAAATGTATTATTGTATAGCAGCTGTCCACGCGGACGCATCAAGTAGGAGAGAGACAGATGTCGAACGCTGCCGAACGCGGAGGCCGATTGTGCCTCTTTGTCGCTCGTTCCGCGCTCTCGCTTGCACTTCAAGCCTTAAATGGAACGCCTCAGAGCGAGGTAACGCCGCATGAGTCATGTTTTTTCGTGCGTGCAGCCGGCTGCATCGAATTATAAGACGTTGTCAAGTCAAAAATAATAGGAGAACAAAAAAGGGCGAGATAGGTTGGTAGGGTATCTTCTCAGGTATGAAGGTCTAGTCAGAGGTATATTAGAGCCAGAACTTGAAGTTAAGAGGAATAGAAGTAGACCTAGATTAGATTACTGTTCTTACTGATGAAGATGATGATGATGAATAAATTATTTAATTCCAAATGAATAACAAGTGCCGACCAATAGAAAAATTAGAGAGGCAATGGCTACATAATAAAGATACATATACATTGCACTGGTACGCCATGTTTGTTAAGAAAAAATAGGGCTGTAGTTCGAAAGCAGCTCGACGGTTGTACATAAGTTCGTTGACCATCAACAATGTAATTAAACGAATGACGCGTAAAGGGATAGATACTACGGTTTCAGTCATACCAACAAACATTTCGACTGAAATCAATTAGTTTGTTTAATTTGAACTTAATTTGTTTCTTTTCAAATCGAAAATTTATCTGGGACAAGTACACCGTTGTGTCGTTAATATAGAAATATTGTGAATGGAAACGTTTTATTGGTCACGAAGTATACGATGAAATTTTTGAACTTGAACTTGAAGTTGTTATTATTTATTCGGTCTCATCAGAATCACGAAGTCCTCGAAACCAACTTTACCATCTCCATCTACGTCAGCTTCATGTATCATAATATCCATGTCTTCATCAGGAACAATGTCACCCAAATTAACCATGACTTCCTTCAACTGTTTAGCTGTAATATAACCAGTTCCATCTTTATCAAACACATTGAACGCATCCTTTAGTACTTCTTCGGTAGGATAATCCTTTAACATTGGCGCCACTGTATCGATGAACTCCTTCAGTGGAATATGGCCAGTGCCATCCTTATCAATTGAATAAATAATGCTCAGGACTTCAGCTTCGGTTGGAACGAGCCCTAGCTTATACATAGCTTTCTCTAAATTATGTCTCGAAATCCAACCGTCGCCGTACTTATCGAATGCGGCATGTGCTTCCTTTATTTCTATAAGCTGCTCATCTGTAAGTTCTTCGGCCATTAAAAAAAAAGTTACAACAAAAAACCAACAAAAACCAACAAAAAGATGATACGTGACAGCAAAATAATTATTTATTCATACATATGTCGTCAAGGTAACGAATTGTTTAATAGATTATTTTTCTTTAAAAGCGATTTTCAGTCCGTTACAAACAGCCAAAGAAAAGGTTACAGGTAGGAATAAGAACCAAATCGGCAGAATTAAACGCAAACACATCGACAATTAATGCTAATTAAATGCTCTAATGAGAAATTAAATGCGCCGAGAAATTTTTTAAAATTACCTTCCTACTAGCTTAAGATTAAATGAGCAAAACATATAAGCTGAAAAACCGTTTAAATGGTGAAAACAGCGTTTTTGATCACAGAGCAATTAAATGCTCATTATATGCCCTAATGAGAAATTAAATGCTACGGGATTTTTTTAATTACCATCCTACTAACTTATGATTACGTAAACGGTACATATAAGCTGAAAAACTGCTTAAATAGTGAAAAAAGAGTTTTTTATCACAGAGCAATTAAATGCTCATTATATGCCCTAATGAGAAATTAAATGCACCGGGATTTTTTAATTACCATCCTACTAACTTATGATTAAGTGAGCGATACATATAAGCTGAAAAACTGTTTATAATGAAAACAGCGTTTTTGGTCACACGGTAATTAAATGCTCATTAAATGCTAATTAAATGCCCTAATGAAACATTAAATGCTTCGAGTATTTTTTAAATTACTTTCCTACTAGCTTAGGATTATGTGAGCTAAACATATAAGTTAACTGTTTAAATAATGAAAACAGCATTTTTGATGACACAGTAATTCAATGCTTTAGGAAGAGTCCAGTTACGAACTCATAGACAAAAACATTGACAGCTTGCAGAGAGTAATTTTTTAAAAAAACGCCTGGAACATTTACCTTTTTACGGCGCTTAATTATCCTTTATTGATCCTTTAATAGTTTTTGCTTGTTTTTGATTCTGCTGTATTTGTTATTCCTACTTAATGCACGTCCAAATTAGAAATAATATTAATTAATTCTAATTTATTATTCGTAGTTAACTGCAAATATTCCCTTTTTTATAAAAGGCAACTAACGCAATTAGTTTTTTTAATGCGATCCTATTATTAATATAAAGCAAAAGAACTAGGTACAATAGCAGCTATTAGTTCGGTCGCATTAGAGCTACAAATTCATCGAAATTGATTTTCCCATCTCCATCTAAATCGGCTTCCTTAATCATAATCTCCATATCCTCATCGGATACAATTTCTCCTAGATTTACCATCACTTGTTTCAACTGGCTAAATTTTATATAACCTGTACCGTCTTTATCGAACACGTTAAAAGCGTCGGTTAAGCTTTCTTCGTCAGGAAAAGTTATTAACAAAGGCGTCATGGCTTCGATGAACTCAGCTAACGGTATAAAACCAGTGTTTTCCTTATCAATTGCATAAACCAGGCTGAGTACTTCAGCCTCCGTCGGATTTAGACCCAACTTGTGCATGGCTTTCTGAAGATCCGTTCTGCGTATGACTCCATCACCAGTTTTGTCGTACGCAAGATGGGCCTCTTTTATCTCAGTAAGTTGCTCGTCAGTCAATTCTTCACCCATTAATACAAAAATATGTTCAACAAGAAATATACGTACATGTAATCAAAATGACGTATTTGACAAATTGTTCAGATGTTATTAATTTGCCATTTCGAACGTACTTTGCCCTCAAAACTGTTTCATGTTTTAGAGATATCCTAACCACAAATTCCAGATGAATATTTTCACGTTTTTGTGAGTATTACAGCTTGAACTGTTTGGCTATCCATAAACTGTAAAGTTATGTATGGGGGAATATGTCGTCAATAGATTAATCGAATTCTTTACCAACCCTCAACAGTAGTGCACTACAAAATGGAAGAAATGTTGAAAATAACACCATTGCTGCGGTGGGCTAAAAGAAAAATCAGGAAGAGAGTCAATCTCGGCGTATTATTGAATGCGAATTCGAATCTAACTCCAGAAGTGATTTTTGAGGTCACTGTTGAGTTTAAGGTATTTCGTCGTATCGCTCTGTAATCTCACTACAATAAGATGTTTGGGCAGCTAATGTCCTAATTCCTTCAGAAAGTCAGGCTTCTGTAAGTATTTTAAATTTACATTTTATAATCAAACTAGCGACGTGTCCCAGCTTCGCACGGGTGTAATGCTGATACTAAATATATTTTTACTTTGTTTAGATTATTATCGAGAGGGGAAATCTTAAATAGACAACCCCTGAACACATTAAATATACTACAGAATGTCTTTATATACAACATTCACAGTTTTTTTTGTCATTAGACAATACAAACCGGCCTCCCGGTCGGTACCGCCGCAACCACTATGTTTGCATTTTAAATCTGTAATAACTTCGAAAATATTCATTTAAATTGCATGCTGTAAAGGGCCATATTGATCTACATTAATGCGCAATGTATTTAAGGTACTTAATTGGATAAGAATTAATGCCGTGTTGCTTAAAATCGTTTAGTAAATAAGTCATTATTTCTCATAAAAAGTAAAGGATAAAAAATGGTTATTGTGGGTTATCCCTAAGTGATAGACATACAACATCCCGGACTTTTTTGTAGATCTTTTTAAGGTGTACATTACTGTAGTATATTATTTTGATCTATCTCGTAGCGTTCAGTCAGCGTTGGCAATGTAAGCGTAAAAAAAAGTTTTACGACATCACATTGGAAATCTCTAAAATTATCAGTGTTTCTCTACTATATTATGCATGTATCATACATATAAACCTTCCTCTTGAATCACTCTATCCACTCAACATTCGTTACGTAGATTTAAATGTCTAAGCATACATAGGGACAGACAGCGGGAAGCGACTTTGTTTTATACTATATATTAGTGATACTATCATTTCATATCATTTTTGAGAAACAGATACCCGGAAAAATTAGGTATTAGAACGGTAAAAAATAGTACACGAACGACATTCAAGATAAAACTAATAATACCCCTGAAAACCCACTTTGAGATTACGTCAAGGCCTTTACCTGGAGACTGCATTAGACTCGGCCAATTCTATTAAATCCTTGACGATTAAAAGAAAAGACGTAGGCCGAGGGGATCTTATAACGTACAATTGAATTTTTCATACCTTAGGGAGAAAAGTTGAAAGTAGGTGGCATGCCGGCGCTGTACGACTAAACATTTATTTTCGCTCGAGTTTTAAGAACATTACAGCTTACGAGTGTACCACTTGTTTAACTTTTCAAATAAACGCTGAAAATGGCTCGTTTTATAAATGACTCCATAAATTTTAAGACTTTCTCGCCACGCAACACTTACAGCAAGCTGTGGTTCACGAGAAAAATGGGTAAGTGTTGAAAATTTTATATGAAATACATGCAACGCTGTTACACCCAAAGGGAATAATAATTCTACTCTTACAGCTGTGTGGGATTGTCAAAAAATGGTAATTTATTGGGCTTAATTACAACTAGTTGCACGAGATACATTTGTTAACTTTGATTTGGAAAAATTGTCAACAATTAGTAGTGAAAGTTCAATCAAAAGTGTCAAAAAAAAAATTTAGTAAATAAAATGGAAGCGGTATTGACAAAACAATATTGTATGAAAATAAATAAAAGTAAAACAAAAATTCTGGTATGCAAGGGAATAAAAATAGGGAAAGAGCGAATAAAGATAGGAGACGAAAAGTTAGAAGAAGTGGCAGATTTTAGGTAGATATCTAGGAAGTCAGATAAGTCAGGACAGAAGAAGTAGTAAGGATACAAAGCAGAGGATAGCGCAGGGTTGAGTCGCCTTCAATAAAAAAAGTCACTTCTATGCTTGCGAAGTATTAATTTATAAATTTGAAAAAGATTGTTTTTAGAGCATGATATATAGGGGTGCGAAACATGGACGATGGGCGCGGAGGAAAACAAATGGTTAGAAGCGTTCGAAATGTGGTGTTACAGGCTAACGAGGAGGATATCGTGGATAGAGAAGGTTAGAAATGAAGACGTATTAGAAAGAATAGGAGAACAGAGGACTCTATGGAAGTCAATAAGAAATAGGCGAGATAGGTTGGTAAGACATCTTTTTTGGGCATGAAGGTCTAGTCGGAGACATATAAGAGGCAGAAACAGGAGTTAGGAGGGGTAGAGGTAGAACTAAATTTGATTTCTGTTCGCAAATAGTTAAAGATGTGGGATGTTCTACTTTTGGGGAGATACGAAGATTAGCGCAGGATAGAAAAGAGTGGAGGTGCGTGTCCAACCAACCCTAGGATTGACGAACATATGATGATGAATTTTGATTATAAAAAATTAATAAATATCATTCTTACGTAAAATTGTTATACGTGTTTTAACTAAATTTTAAATAATTTCAATCGTTTTCTAATAGAATACAACTGATCATTTTAGTGTCTCGGAAAGGAATTTCAAATAAGAAACAGTAGAAATACATGCAATTCAGATTAATAAACAAGATACGCAAATAAAACTAAATATAGGTAGTTCATTTTGTGAAGCAATATTAAGATAGACTGGAAGACCTTATGCGTTCCCAAAAATAGAAATCAGTTGGGTTACAATTAGGTCTATGGAATGTCACTTTCTTTGTCAATCCATCGTTTCTAACCCCGACTAATATTACTTGAAATTCCTTTTAAAGATTCTGAAATATTCAATAAGTACCTTTTAACACACTGTATAGTTTTCCACAGCAACATTTTATTAAGGCATGTTTATCTGATCTAAATAACCTGCACTCATTGTATGTCCAAATAGTTGCATGACTCACCCTGTATAGCCGTTCGCTTATTTCATACGTCATTGGATTTCCAACAGCAAGGAGGCTAACTGTAAAAACCGTTCCCGACTTTAATCTATTCAGATGAACACTGCAATCCGTTAAAATCGCCTAATACATGCAACCCAGTTGTTTCGCGGTGGAAATTAAATTTTCTTCATCTTGACACGAGCTTAGCTATGCCACAAGAGACGGCCTCGCGTTCAAATTGAAATCTACAACGTGCACAAAACAAACAGATCTTGCAGCTGCCATTGCCACTGTCGACCTCCATCCCAGATGACGTCCTCGTATGCCATTTTCCGAGTATGTTACGTACAAGTTGTAAGGGTTTCATTTTAACGTCTGTTTAAGGAAAATTGCGGCCGCATTTCGTATTACGCAAACGTGATGCTTATCAGAAACAATGAGTGACGTTAGTTGGAAAAGTCTTATCGTTCCCGAGATAGAAATGTTCAGTCTCTCAGAGTCTTTAAAAGCGAGACTCGAGTCTTCGTCTCTCATCGAGTCTCTCTGGTAGCGCTGAGAGAGAGACTGTCGAGAGACTGTTAAAAAAACTGTTTAGCGTCTCTGAACGAGAGACTCCAGTCGCTCATAGAGATCGTCATTTCGTCTCCAGTCTCTGAACGAGAGACTCGAATCTCTCAATAAGTGGTGTCTCGATAGATATGGTTAAATTTTCAATATATTTCAGAGATCCCAGTCTTTCAACGAGAGACTCGAGTCTCTCAATTTTTCAGTTTTATTCATTCAGCCTCTCTGTGAGAGACTCGAATCTCTGAATTAACAATTTTATCGTTCAAGTCTCTCATACAAAGACTGTGAGAGATCCATAAAAACACCTAGGCAATAACTGGGAGACTGTGAGAGACGCTCTCAGAGACGCTGAAAGACTCTGAAAGACAATGAGAGACTGGAAAGAGACTGAAAATTTATGTCTAGCGTTACTTCTGTAAAAGGTTTCTTGGTTTTGCATACATCAAACGGTTATTAATTATAATTGACGTTATAGGACCTTAAATTGCTACAAAGCTATCAGGATTCGTCTATTTATAATTCAGTTTAAGGGATAAATGAAAATATACAGCACTTAGAGCTCAGTGACGGCAAAGAAATAAAATTTATAAAAAACCTTGTGCTTTTATTGATGTCAACTTTTTATGGACAATTTTAACTTCGGAACTGGACAATAGAATAAATAAGAAGCCATAAACAGGACAAAGTAACTGGAAGAAACAACAGGTTACCAATAGATTTGGATCTGGAATGAGTAATAAAGTTCTGTACTTGGTCTTCCTCGTATAAGCATAAATTGAGAAACACAGACGTGTACAAGAGTGAAAATTAGCTTGTTTATTTCGTATTCTGCACTGTTTCTGAAAATTTTATCTTAATTGTAAAATAACAAAAACTTAGCGCACAAAAAGGTCGATTCGTTAATGAAAGAATCAAAGAAAATAAACCGCGATTTTTCAGAAATTGGTATTAAGTAAGAAATAATATGAGCAATATTGTACGAATTCAAAATACAGGTAATTTTAGTTATTTAACTGCTGCTTAAATTTGAATGGCATGCGCTTTTAAACCTCCAAAAATTCTGAAATGCATACAGAATAGGCGTTTAAAGCGTCACTCTTCAACTTGAATGTATTGTAGGTGGAAAATTAGAGTTCTGCAAGTAGGGATTTTCGGTTCAGTGTGGATTTACAGCCGTCCGTTAAAGATTAAATTTAGTCAGTCTGACAGGTGGAAAAGGCAGTCCCAGAAGTGTATAAACATTTTAGAAAATACTACAAATGGGGCAGTGAACGCCATCTGTAGCACGATGCTACATTTTAGGATTACGTATACTCCAACAAGGTCCACT